ATGGGTCGACCACGCCAAGCTCAACGCGCAACCGCCCAACCTCAAGCACGGAGATGAAGTCAAGGTCGTCATTCTCGGCGCAGGCTTCGGTGGCCTGCTGTACGCGATCCGCTTCATCCAGGCCGGCCTGCGGGCGGAGGACATCCGCCTCGTCGACGTAGCCGGCGGGTTCGGTGGCACGTGGTACTGGAACCGCTACCCGGGCCTCATGTGCGACATTGAGAGCTACACGTACATGCCGCTGCTCGAGGAGACTGGGTACGTCCCGAAGCACAGGTACTCGTACGGCCCGGAGCTGATGGCGCACGCCGAGCGGATGGCCGAGATGTGGAACCTCACGGACAAGGGTGTGTTCCGGTCGCAGATTAGGAGCTACGAGTGGGACGACAAGGCGAAGAGGTGGGATGTTGTGGTTGAGCAGGGCCGCGGGCCCGGCGAGGCGGCTGTTACGATGAAGGTTCGGTCGCAGTTTGTGGTGTTGGCCAATGGTGTGCTGAACCACCCCAAGTTGGCGAAGAATCTGGAGACGTTTGAGGGTGACATGTTCCACACGGCGAGGTGGAACTACGGTGTCACCGGCGGGCTGGGCACAGCGCCCGAGAACCCGCAACTCACCGGTCTGGAAGGCAAGCGAGTTGGAATTATTGGTACGGGTGCGACGGCTGTTCAAGTCGTGCCGCAGCTCGCCAAGTGGGCGAAGGAGCTTTACGTTTTCCAGAGGACGCCTTCGGCTGTTGATGAGAGAGGGCAGAGGCCCACCAATCCGGAAGAGTTCAAGACGAAGATCGCGACCGGGAGAGGTTGGCAACGCAAGCGCACCGAGAACTTCAATGAGTGGATTACTGGAGGCGAGCCGGGAGAGAACCTTGTGAACGACGGCTGGACGACGCTGAAGGCGTACAAGGCCATCATTGGCGGACCTCACGACGCTCCGCTGAAGATGGAGGACATTCCTGGGCACCTAGGCAATCTGATGGCTCTTGACACGCCCAGATCCGAAAGACTTAGACAGCTTGTGCAGTCGACCGTCAAGGACAAGAAGACCGCCGAGGGTCTGAAGGCGTGGTACCCGGGCTGGTGCAAGCGCCCGACATTCCACGACGACTATCTCCCGGCATTCAACCTTCCTCACGTTCACCTGGTTGACACAGAGGGCAAGGGCGTGGACCACGCGACCAAAGCCGGCCTCGTAGTTGGAGGGACGGAGTATCCCTTGGACGTCATCGTCCTCAGCACAGGATACAGACCGCCCGGTGAGAACATGGCCGAGCCGTCGTCGCAGTCCAACATGACCATCAAGGGCCGTGGCGGCCAGCTCATCTCGGAGAAGTGGCTCACCAAGGGCCCGAGCACGCTGCACGGCGTCCTCACCAACGGGTTCCCGAACCTCTTCCTCACGGGCCCCATGCAGATGGGCGCGTCGTCCAACTTTGCCTACGTGACGGACATTGCGGCGCAGCACTCGGCTTATATCTTGGGCGAGGCGATGAAGCGGGCTGGCAAGAGCACGGACAAGGTGGTGATTGAGAGCACAGTGGAGGGCGAGGAAGGCTACGCTGCGAAGATCATGATGCACGCGGCGTGGTTCGCTGGAATCGCGACCTGCACGCCGTCGTACATCACCAACGAGGGCGAGCAGACGAAGCCGGAGGACCAGATGAAGAAGATGAGGGGCGCGCCGTTCCCCACGGGCATGAACAACTATACCAAGTTCCTGGAGGAGTGGCGTGCTGAAGGCTCGCTGAAGGGAGTTGATATCACTGCATAGCGTTGGGGCATTTCAGAAATTAGTTGAGTGAATTATAGCAAGGAGCAAGCGACATTTTGGATACTCTTCATCGTGCGAGGCCCTTGGCTAACGACTGCAGCAGATCAGCCGAAGCAACTGTGTGATCTTCGCTTTTCAGCAAAAGCTTGATCATGTCGGAAACCTCACATGTTCACATGCTCCTCAAGTGATCACATAGAAACAATGAATATTATTGGGGTTCATCCTATTAAAAGATCTTGTCAAGGATCTTCTCACCCCCATCCAGGCGATCGGCCTCTTTCCTGAGAGCATCTGCCCTAAACCTTCGGAACGCAGTCTCGATCCTCGCCCGAGCCTCAGGGTCCTTGCTAATACTTCGAGCAGCGGAGGCAGTCCCCGAGACGAAGCCGAGCTCGCCGCCCAGGAACAGACTCCCAAGCCCTAGCAGTGAGTAAGCCGCGATGTCGCCCGCTTTAGTCGGGGCCATCTTGTCTGTGACATCCGGGATAGGCTCTGCCCACTCGTTAGCATGGCATTCACAATTTCCACACACGCGCATGCTTTGACAAACCTGTTCTTCCACTGGCAAACTGCACATGGGTGGGCTTCTCAGTGGCCCGGAACGCCGCAAACATGTCCGCCCGCGCCCGTCTCAGCCGAAAGGCGAGGAAGAATCCCAGCCCTAGACCAACGACGGACCCGATCGTCGCATGGGTGCTGACTCTGGCAGCTGCGCTCTTGAGAAGGTCGCGATCCGAATCCTTGAGGTCGTGTTCGAGATGTTTCTCGGCCAGGGCGGCGAGGTCGTCTGAGGAGGGCGACTTGCGGAATGCAGCTAGGGAATCGCGAGACATGGTTGCAAATTGCACTTTTTTAATGGGATTTGGGTGTTCGGGTTAGTAGAAGATGATTTCCAAGTCAACAGTGAGATAAATGGAAAGAGTTACTGAGATGTTCAGAAAGTCAAATATCGACAGTTCAGATGGCGTTTGGAATGGCATCGACAGGGGCAGCCAAACTTTGGGTTTGGTTCGTCTTAGCGTGTGATGACGTCCTGCATACGTGATTGAACGTACACCGGAATGTGCGGAGAAAGTTCTGGACAAGATTCTTCCTTCATCTCTTCTGATAGAATCCAGGCTGTTGTCTCTGGCACCCAAATCGATGTACCTTAGTTAGGCGTCGACACCCTCCGGCTGCAAGTGCTCGCTCACCAGTGTGTTTACTGGGCCTCTGCGCTGTATCGTCCCTCTGCGCACGCGAGCGCCAGCGCCATAAGATGGGCTTCTTCCAACTCTCATATTCACGCGAGCTCTTTTGAGACCACACACCAACATGAGGAACCACTGTGCAAGAAATGGCTCCTGAGAGAAGGACCTGTCCTTCAAGCCCAAACTCACAGCCTTACGCGCGACCGAGGAAGAGACCGGGGGGCGCACAATGATTCCTTGGTGTGCGGGATAGCTCAGACCCTGTGCGGTCCATAGTCTCCGCTTTGGAGCATGGAACCATCGTTCATTGGAAGGGTGGCCGAGTTGGTTATGGCGCCAGGTTAAGGTCAGCTTAACATCTGTTTCCTGGTGGGGCAACCCGCGCGAGTTCGAGTCTCGTCCCTTTCATCTTTTGCATTTTGCCGTTCAAGTGGTCTTCTCTTAGTCTCTTTTTGACACTGTGCGAGAAAAGCTTTAGTTCTTTCGCATACCTCACTCAATTGAACGCAAACAACTGCAGTGAAGTGTTTTATAAAGGTGTTTAGTTATGTTGTTCATCAAAGTTTAAGCATCTTCAAACCCCGCTATTCTTACCCGGTGATCCCCTTGATCGTACCCGAGTGTAACGAGCCGCGGCAGTCCTTTTCTTGGCCGCACCTATGAGATGAGTCTGTTTTTAATGTTGTTATTGGCCCTGCAATTAGTTTTTACATTTTCAGTACCGTACGTATCTTAGTGCTTTTAGACACAGCTCAACTTCGTCACACAGTAGGCAATTCTTGAAGAGAAGGCCGCTGATCGATGTTGTGATTTGATGGGTTTCTTTCGCCGTAACTAATGCAGTCAGGTCGTGATCCTAGTACGAAGAACATCCTTGACACCATCTCTCTTGGTCATAAAATCTAGCGAAGGGGGATGATGTGATCCTCTATCAGAACGCAGCCGTCGAATTATTGCGCTGGTACATCCAACGCATCGCCAGTCACTGGGCGGGAACAGACTCTGGCCTACAAGGGCAGTAGTTGATAGAGTGCTGAGATCTACGGAACGAGGAACTTTCCTCGGCGGCAACTTCATAGTTAACCCTCGGCCGGGTATTGTCATTGCCGCCGGAAAGGCTTCGGAGGACATTCTCGATCTTCGAGAAGTAAGACGGACGAATTTTAGCGGATACCCGCTCTTCAAAGTCGCTTTCGGCCACTGTATTAGTGCGGTATTGCTCCACTGCTTCGACAAAACAAGCTTCTTGTTCCGCCGCGACATGAGGGTCTCAATCTAACTCTAAACGAGAATAGGCGGGAACATTGTCTGCTCAGCGTTAGGTTCCCGTTTACTGCGTCAAAAGTTCCCCCAAAAGACCGCTGAACAGGGATATCTCTGGCATCTTCAGGCGGTTGGTCCCTGCTGGTTCTCCGTCGTCTGACACGCAGCCAACACGTAACCATGCGTGTCCCAAGTGCTTGGTTTGCAGCAGGATGAACCGCTTTCCTCACGTTCGGGTCTCGGCACGAACCATTGCTGATATGCTTTCCAGCAGGCAGTTTGACCGCATAGCCTCAGGTCGAACAGCGGATGCTAGCCGTCTCAGCGCCAACGTAAGCCGTTATTGACCTGCCTATTTGAGCTTACTACTTATTCTTCCATCTCATTCCCATTGCTATCTATCGTGTCCTGGGATTAGTTGTCGATAATGAGCTGCCTCGTTGTCCGACAGGACTCAAACGGCAACAATCGCCTGAGACATGCGGAATAGTCCATAGTTGTGAGATATCCATACAGGACAATTCCAGCACAAACTGAGTCATTTGGCCTCGTAACTATCTTCGCGTTTTGCGTTGCCGTACGCGCATCACTGCCTATCTCCGCGCGTAAGATTACGCCAGTCTCTTGGAAGTTGGAACACGCGCCGCTAACCTACACCAAGGTGTCCCCTGCCGCCATCTCATGTGAATCGTTAAATGTTCGACCATGTTCGTCTAGTCTGACAGCATCCTGCTGCAGCTTGACGTTTCCCATCATTAATCCCACCGGCAGCAGCGATGGACAACTTCACCTCCATCGCCGACTGTGAAGGCTCGTTCGGCCCCGCTGCATCGGCGTGCAGCGACCGGTTCGACTTCACACTGCTCTTTGAACAGTCGCTCCTCAACATCGGCCCGTCCGCCGCCCTGCTCTTGGCACTTCCGCTCCGGCTGCAACAGCTGCTCCGCCAGCGCCGAAAGGTGCTTCGCCATCCCCTCAACGCCGCCAAGATCGTGACGTGCGTCACTTTCGGTGTGATTCAGATTGCGCTGGTGTCGCTGTGGGCTCAGGCGCCGTTCGCCAACCGCGTCTCGGTCGCTGCAGCAGTCCTCGGGGTGCTAGATGCACTCGCGCTCGGCGTGCTTAGCCATACCGAACACGTCCGATCGATCCGCCCTTCGACAATCATCTGCGTTTACCTCGTCTTCTCCCTGGCATTTGATGCCGTGCAATGCCGCACGCTATGGCTTCTTCCCGGATTGCAGAAACTGGCGGCAGTCTTCACAGCCTCGCTGACGGTAAAGCTGGCGATGTTCATGCTGGAAGTCCAAGGGAAGCGTAGGTTCCTCATTGCCGCGCTGCGCAACCTTAGCCCCGAGACGACGAGCGGCATCATCGGTCGCGGTTTCTTTTGGTGGCTCAACGAGTTGATGACGCGGGGGTTCAAGGCGACTCTCTCACCTGCTGCGCTCTACGATATCGATGAGGGTCTGAAGTCCGAGGAGCTTCTCCAGCGACTGCTCCAGCAGTGGGACCAGCGCAAGGGGAAGGGCAAGTACGCACTTATCAAGGCGCTCTTCAGCTCGACCAAGAAAGCCTGCATCGCCACGGCGTTCCCGAGACTGGTTCTCATTGGTTTCAAATTTGCACAGCCGTTCCTGATTAACAGAATCATCACCTACGTCGACGGCAACAAGGGATCCGACCCCAAGTCTGTAGCTTACGGACTCATCACAGCCACCGCAATGATTTATCTTGGCACAGCTGTACGTGCAATGCTCGTTCTAAGGTGGAAACCCATGTGCTAATGATTTGCAACTAGATTGTGAATGGATTCTATCAATATAAACTATACCGATTCATCACCATGGTTCGAGGGTCTCTCGCATCCTTTGTCCTTTCGAAGAATCTCGATGCCAACGCGGCTGCAGCTGAGGACTCATCGGCTGCTCTGACGTTGGTCAGCGCCGACGTGCGGAACATCTGCAGGTCCTTTGAGACACTTCATGAGGTCTGGGCGAATCCTGTAGAGATCGGCATTGCTATTTGGCTGTTGCAGAGACAGCTTGGACTTGGAAGCGTAGGCCCGGCCATCACTATCATAGGTAAGGAGCTGTGGCAACTACGAAGTCTAACAAATACTGATTGTGGACAGTGTGCACCGTTGGTATGAGTAAACTTGGACAACTGATGCCGCCGGCGATGAAGCTATGGAGCGAGAACATCCAGACCCGCATCACTATGACTTCAGAGGTCCTCGGCTCTATCAAGGAGACCAAAATGCTAGGCATGACGGAATTCCTCCAGAAGGTAATCCAGGATCTTAGAATCACTGAGCTAGTCATGGCCAAGAAGTACCGTGCCATGATTACCTACATGAATGTCCTAGGTGAGATATCGCAGTAACCCTACATTGTGAAGCACGTAACTGACTGGAACAGGAAATTGTCCGAGCATGGTTGGTCCCGTCGTGACCTTCGGAATCGCGCTTCTCGCGCAGAGAATCAATGCGGGAGGGTCGCTTTCTATTGCAACTGTCTTCACATCACTCTCCATTATCGACATGATTGCTGGTCCTTTGGCCCTGCTGATCTCTTCCGTACCAAGTTTGCTTGCCTCTCTGGGAAGTTTCGAGAGGATTGAGGATTTTGTCGGTAACGATCTTTCCTCAGAGGCCCCCACTACGATGGAGCAGGCAAGACCTACTCCTTCCGAGAGCGATGCTGGAGTTGAGATGCAGACCTTTTCAACCAAGACGTCTTCGGATCGAGAGCATGTCGTTGTGGTCGAAGACGGCTTCATCTCAATCAAGGCTGGAGACACGCCCATTTTACAGAATATCAATCTTCGCATTCCGCCCTCAACGCTGACAATCCTCATTGGTCGCGTTGGCTCTGGCAAAACAGTTTTGCTGCGAGGTCTTTTGGGCGAACTTCCCATGACCGGCTCCATCAAGATGTTGGATGGAGGCGTGGCATACTGTGCGCAGACCACATGGCTCACGACCTCAACTGTCAAGGAAAACATCATCGCCCAATCGCCACTGAATCAGGACTGGTATGATAAGGTCGTACATGCATGTGCCTTGCTGCCAGACTTTGCGAATCTGCCAAATGGCGATGGAACTGTTGTTGGGAGCAAGGGCCAGTCTCTCAGCGGTGGCCAGAAGCAGCGTGTTGTGAGTTTCTCTTGGCAAATTTAGAAGGCATCGGGTAATCTAACGCGATTTTAGGCTCTGGCCCGGGCAGTCTATGCGAGGAAGCCTGTTCTGGTTGTCGATGACGCGCTTAGTGGATTAGATTCCTCTACCCAAAACCATATCTGGGACAACGTGTTTGGCCAGAATGGCTTGGTTCGTCGGTTTGGAACTACCATCATTCTTGCTACACATTCACGTAAGTAATACCTTGGTGCGCTATGTATTGTTGCTTGAGCTGACAAACCCCGTAGTGAGCTACCTAAAGTATGGTGATCATATCGTCATTCTCAGCGACGATGGCAAGATTGCCAACCAGGGGACTTTCACTGCTGTTCGACATAGCGCCTACCTCGAAACGTTGTCCATTGAGGACAACAAGCACAGCAAGAACGATGAAAGCGGCACATCCACCCCCGAAACTTCAGAGAAGAGCAAGAAACCAAAAGCACCGGAGGGGAACGACAAGGAACTGGACCTGCTGAGAAAGGCTGGAGATACGACCCTTTACTGGTACTACCTGAGGTCAATTGGATGGCTGTACGGCTCTCTTGGGGTGCTGGGCATGTTTGGCGACTGTTTTGTCCGGGTATTTCCCCGTAAGTAGCCCCTCGTCCTTCATTGGGTTTGGTACTGACGGAATGACAGAGGTTTGGTTGAAGTCCTGGACTGAGAACGATGCAAAGACTGGAGGAGCAGACACCGGCATGTACTTTGGTGTCTATGCCGGCATGTCTGTCGGCGGCTTGTTTATCATTGGACTCAATATTTGGTACGATGCACTGGAAGAACCTAAGCGTTACAATTGAGAACTGACGAGCGTACAGGATGATGTTTGTCATGATTGTTCCCAAGTCATCTCAGAACCTGCACTGGAAATTGCTCCAGACCGTCATGAGGTGGGCCGAAGCAAGCCAAAGGAGGTGTAGAGTTTCCGCTGACAGTTTGCAGGGCACCTTTGTCTTTCTTCCTGGTTAAAGACACAGGCGATCTACTGAATCGGTATGGTCTCCTTCGCATCAGTGGTGCCCTCCAACACTGACATGTAGAAGATTCAGTCAAGACCTCTCCCATATTGACCGAGACCTCCCAACCGCATTATTCATGACTTCCATCGGTAAGTACCAAGTTTCATCAGGAATCACAGCGTTCTAAGTTAACACGGCGAAGCGGTTCTGGACTGTCTTGCTGGATTAGTTCTCATCATGATCGGTGCCAAGTACCTCGCGGCCGTGATCCCTGTCCTACTGGTCGCTCTTTACTGCTTGCAGGCCTTCTACCTGAGAACCTCTCGACAGATGAGATTCCTCGACCTTCAGGCTCAGGCACCACTACTGACCAAACTGGTCGAAACGATCGATGGCATCTCTACTATCCGGGCATTTGGCTGGCAGGGGGCATTCCGCGACTCATCACTCCATCTCCTGGATCAGTCTCAGCGGCCTTACTACCTTCTGTTCTGCATCCAGCGATGGCTAACTCTGGTTCTCGACATCCTTGTTGGCGCCATTGCAGTTCTTCTCGTCTCGCTAGCAATGACGATTCCAGAATCGACCAGCACTGGTGCAATTGCTATCGCGCTTTACAACGTGCTCAATTTCAATTCGTCACTCGCCACCCTCATCACCTCTTGGACGGAGCTTGAGACGTCCCTGGGTGCCATCTCAAGATTGAGAACCTTCGAAACCAAAACGCCGGTTGAGCCATCCCCTTCATCAGAGGAGCAAGCACCCCTGCCATCTAATTGGCCTTCCGAAGGTCGACTTGAGATTAACAATATCACAGCATCTTACTCCCCAGACACAAGGCCTGTTCTGCAGGACGTAACACTCACTCTGCATCCAGGCGACAAGGTCGCAATCTGTGGTCGTACTGGGAGCGGCAAGTCAACACTGACCCTCACAATCTTCAAACTCTTGGGCTTGGACTCAGGCTCAATCGTAATCGACGGCATCGACATCGCTCAAGTGCCAAACAACGTGCTTCGCCGCCGTCTCATCGCCATTCCCCAGGAACCTCTGCTCTTCCCCGGAACGTTGCGCACCAATCTCTTCCCACACACTGAGGGTCTCAGCGCCGAGGAGATTCCCTCAGATGAAGAGCTCATCTCTGCCCTCACAAAGGTGTCTTTGTGGTCGGCAATCTCCCTCAGCGGCGGCCTAGACACCGACGTCTCCAACTTGGCCTTGTCAAAGGGCCAGAAGCAGCTTCTCTGTCTCGCACGCGCCATCGTTCGCAAGCAATCAAGCAAGATTCTCGTTCTCGATGAAGCGACGAGCGCAGTTGACCAGGAGACGGAGGAGATGATGGCCAAGATTATTGAGACTGAGTTTGCAGCTCATACTGTGGTATCTATAGTTCATAGGCCACAGGCGCTGCGGGGATTGCATATGGTGGTGACTCTCCAAGACGGCAAAATCCTGAAGATCGGCCCCCCCTGAGTTGTGACAAAGTACACGGCTTTTTCATTCATCCACAACATTTCATAGACTCTCGGACGTACTGCACTCAAATATATTAATGGATGGTTTGTTTGCTTACGGAGCTAGTTCCGAAACTTCCGCGTGCACGATTAATGCATTCGGCATGCTGATCTCCATCCAGAACCGGACAATCAAGTGGAACCAGGAGTCTTTGAGTTGCATCTGCGTTTCCATAGTTCGTGTCTCCTTTTCCCATAAGATCATGTTCCTGAAGTGATGTGACACGAGCAAAATAACTCAGTCGCTATTCTCACGGGACTTCCGGATGTGGGCGTCAGTCCCAGCAAGTATGGAGAGCGCAGCAGGCCCTATACTCCAAATGAGCTGCTCACTTCAGTGTAACGGTCACGAAACTGAGTCGAGTCCTTCTTCTAAGTTCTGTTCGTAGTAAAGTCTTCCTAGATTTGTAAACAACAGTCTTTCTCGGTGCCATATCAATGCAAATGCGTAAGATTGACTACTTCTCGAACGGCAAGTTGAAAGAGTACTAGTTTGTTTGCTTAGCATACTGCTCTCCACTTCACGTACTCCGCGGGACTCAGGCGCTGTGGTCCGGAGCGGTCCCGGGTGATCTGGAGTGATCCGGGGTTGGCAGGGGGGTGTGACACACCGGGACTACCGATACAACTAACTCAAAGCTTATTGTCGATGACGGCTTGCGACTTGTCTCAAGTTTTACAGACGAACCGGATTCGACGTGCGAGCTGAAAAGGTACAGCACACTGGAACTCAACATCCCAGACACAATGCAGATCCGACACCGAAACTGGTATTTACCATTGCCAGAGGCTGGTGGGGACCTCGCAGGACGTGACGCGTCTAAGCTGGCCTTTAAACTCTAAATTCACAGACTCAGACGGGGGCTTTTTCATTCGTAAAGTTCACAAGCGCCCGTAGAATGGAGCTTGCTGTTGGTGTTAGACATATTGGCGATGAACTTGTTGCCGCGCCGTGCTGTGCCATTAGGAGGAATTCGATTGGGAAAGCTCCTGTTGGCAGCAGTGAACAGGTCCTCGCAAATCGACGTGAGATACATACCATCTTTCATCCCATGATCAAACATTCTAGAAGGTGTACAGAAATAGTTCAGCTGTAAGCACCAACACCTTGGTAAGAAATCGTTTGATCGCCCTTCAAACACAAGTGCTATGCATAAGGCTGCCGTGCTGCTTGGCATATTGGCCACTGTCGGTGAGCTCCGTGGCGCAGCTTTCAACCCGGCGGACGGATTTCAAGGAGGCGAGTCAGCACTGATTCCACACTCAACACTTCTCCAGGCGCCGTAGCGACATCTCCATAAAGCGAAACTCACGAAATATGCCGTGTACAACGGTGATATTTTGAAACGGGCGTAAGACGCTACCCCAGTTGTATTGATACTGTCGGACTCAATACCCGTCAACGTCAACAGCGCCTTGGTGTGAAAATGTGAGTATAAATGACATGACAAGAACTGCGTTCGTCGCGACTTTTCTGTCCTGTCATCACAACATCTCATCCCATCATTGCAACATCCCACCGGGTCTATCACACAACTTTATTCCATAATCTATACCACAACACAAACGTTGAACGTTTATCAAATACCATCAACATGCGTTTCCAATTCGTTTTCGCTCTTCTGGCCACCTACGCTGCCTCTGTCATGGCTGGTGCCTGCGAGGACTGCCAGAGGACTTGCCCCAGGCCTAGTGAGGATGAGTGCAGTAAGTCAACATCTGCGATTTTCAGATGAATAATAACTGATCACTGCGTAACGTAGACACTCTCTGCGCTCCCATCTGCAACGGAAAGCGATTCGTTGCATAAGTAGCGCTGTGCGTATGATTTTTGGGGCGTTGGACGGAAGATAGCACACTAGCAGATACATATATCTTACTTCCAAAACTGGGCCATTGGTGACCGATGGTGTTGTGAAGACTATTGCGATTTTGTCAGGTGATTAGCAGGCGAAAAGTGATTGTGTGCGCACCTATGCAAACAAGAAAGCAACCGATCTATTGTATTGGTCTAGTCATACAAAATGAGGTTGCACTGGGATTTCCCGGCTTGGACTCACGGTTCAGCAAGTCCCAGTCCCTGGTTTGACGATCAACTGCCGGGTGGTCGAAAAGATAACGCTAGGTAGCTTCGGCGCCAAGATATTGTGGCAACTGATGATAGCTGAGAATGAAACTACTGGAGGCCTTCTACCAGAAGAGGAGCGTGGAGATGACCACGAGAAATGGTTCACTCCAATTCAACTCTTAGCTTGATCAGCTGAATAAAGTGTGGCTTCAGAACCTAATGTGTGCTGCCCCTATTCTAGCCTGGATAGGCCCAAACTCCTCCGCACCGGAAAAGAGGCGTCGCTTTTGCTCCTGGGGGCCGTTCGGCTGGCTGTTAGCGCAAAGAGCTACCAGACGGTTGGGTCAGGAAGGCACAAGCCGTCATCGTGACTATTGGGACTAGACTCAAAACAAGCTTATTCTCATAAACTACTCTGGAACCCTGAATCTCACAGTCTCTCCTCCGAGCAATTCGTATAATTCAAAATGCAGTCCATCTGCCGGTGTACGAGCTCTTTCAAGGGCTGTCGCTTCCCCTCCCTGTCCCAGAGCATTCTATTGCAAGCTTTCAGCCCGAATCTAGTTTGAGATTCCATCATTGTATCCCTCTTCCGAAATTCCTTAACTCTGTTTTTACTATCCAAAGCTCTTCGGCGCTCAAGGAATCGATCATGGGTCAAGGCTACAGCTATCAATCATGTTATACGGACTTGATCCATGGACAGCGCACGCTGGGAGCCGCTACCTTAGTCGCCAATGACATGACCGTCGAAAAGTGTAGCAGCTTCTGCTCCAACTACAAATACTTCGGGGTCGAGTACGCAAAAGAATGCTGGTGCGGCAACACCATTCAGGAAAACCAAGTTGTCGCAGTTTCAACTGAATGCAGTTGGCCTTGCAGCGGCTCATCCTTGGAGACCTGCGGTGCTGCCAGCCGCATCAGCGTCTACGAGCGTTGGTTGTACTTCCCTGCCACCCACGCGACCCTTGCCGACACACCTTATGTTGGCTGCTTCGCCGATGGCAACACCCGCGTGCTTCCCAGCAAGCAATTCACCTCCGACTCCATGACAGCAGCAGCATGCGCTGCCAACTGCGCCGGGTACACCTACTTCGGCACACAATGGTCGCGGGAATGCTGGTGCGGCAATACCCTGCCGACTGTCAGCGCTCCGGATGCGGAATGTTCAATGACTTGCACTGGATCCAGCTTCGAGACCTGTGGAGGCAGCTTGAGGCTGAGCGTCTATGGACCTAATACCAAAGCTGTATACAATCCTGGAAGCACTTCCAACACGGGCACCACCACGTCTCCTGCTACCGTGTCCAACTTCGCCTACCAGGGTTGCTACACAGACAATGTCCCCCAACGTGTACTATCGGGGGCAGTCAAGTTTGATGGCGCCATGACCCTCGAGATGTGCGCCTCCTTCTGCAGCTCCTCGAACTACGGAGTTTTCGGCGTCGAGTACTCTGGCGAGTGCTATTGCGGAAACTCCTTGGACACCGCCAGCAAGAAGGTGGCCGAGACTGAGTGCACGATGAAGTGCAAAGGCAATAACGCAGAACTATGCGGCGACGGAAATCGTCTCAATGTCTTCGCTCTTCCCTCCGGATCCATCGCAGCTACCTCCAACCCAACTGGCAGCACGAACGGTTTCTGGTATCAGTCATGCTGGAACGACAACATCAACGGCCGTTCCTTGAAGGAGAACATCCTGTTTGCCGACGACATGACGGTCGAGAAATGCTCAAATTTCTGCAAGAGTTATCAGTACTTTGGTCTCGAGTACGGCGGCGAGTGCTACTGTGGCAATACCCTCGGAGGCACAAAGGCTCCAGAGGCAGACTGCAGTCAGCATTGTAAAGGAGACGGTACACAGTTCTGCGGCAACGGCAACAGACTCAGTCTCTACAGCATTAACCCGCCTGCATGATCCTTGATGGCTGCCCCAGTCAGTGGCAGGCACTTGAGTTGATTCCATTTTATCTGCTGAAAGTGGATTGTGGCAAATGTTTATCGAATGCTACAACCAGGGCCACGATGTGTCGACTTGGGTGGATAGTATCTAGCTTCGTCCAGCTTCATGAGTGAATTTGGCGTGCATACTCGTGGGGGGCAGCAGTGTTACTGGCATCGGCAATAGACTATCATATAATACGACGATTTCTCTTCTAGCTGATACGTCTTCAACCCGAATTTTCTCTAGTTTTTAAATACCGGCCCATTTTGTGACCACATGAGCGGAAAATATTCGTATTTGCTGCTTGCATATGCTAAAATTCCTACGTATAATGTGGGTAAAAAGATCGGCAGAAATCCCCCAAAACTTCGCCGTACTTCTCCAAGCTGTGAATGAACGATGCTATGACCACCCATTGGGTCTCTTCTTTTTGAAACTAACCTCCACGGTGACAGTCCTGGTCTGGATGATCGCGTTATTCAGATTGATGGCCTGTTCTGCGGAAATATCGTCATGATAAGATGGAGTATCTTTGTAAGCAGGGGTAGTTCGTAAGCCCGAACGATCACCTCCTCCCCTTTCCATATCGAACGCTTCGCCGTCGTCTTCGTCGGGCGGCGGGTGCCCGTTTCGACTTGGTCTGCCATTCGAGCCTCCGATGGTCATACGGCTGATGGTTGTGCTGCCCGTGACACTCTTCTTGCTTCCCTTTGCATATGTGCTTTCGCCGATTATCTTTGGGGCGACGTGCCGGAAAAACTTCCGAAGAGTCGGGAGGGCGGCGCAGATAATGAGAAGATTTGCCTCAACAATGCTGCGAGGAATGCCACGTTAGCGAGATGAAACTATAAGGGTCAGATTTGAGACGTCGTCGTCTACGTACATCCAGAGACTGGCGTAGGAGATGGCCCAGGTTTGATCCAGACTGGTTAACATGGCGGGGAGC